GAAAGGTAGTCACCAAGACAAAAGACAGGCAACTCTTTGACCTCAAGAACAGATTCTCAATTTGAGGGTATAGATGATGACACATGTATCTCTCAGAGTTTGAACATTAGGTTCCATTAAAGCATTATTTTTTATTTTAAAAAGCATCATTCAATAACAATAGAGCATGAATTTGGAGTTATTTTGATGGTGGTGATTGTGGTCATGGTAAGGGGTCAATGATAGCAGTGAGTATGGTTACGCTGGTGATAGTTGTCATTATGGTCATAGTTGTGGTGATGGAATTCATGGTAGAGGTCATGCTAGTGGTGGTGGCATAGCCATGCTCACAGTGGCTTAGGTTAGCTAGCTATGGTTATGACTGTAGCTGGAATGGCCATGGTCCTAGGAGTAGTGATGCTTGATGTCATGATGGCAATTACACTTACAATGGTGGGTGTGGTTATGGCTGTGGTGGTGTTGGTCATTGTAGTAGTGACAGGAGTAAGTATGGGTGGTGATAATGATTGTGGTAGTAGTAGTTACACTGGTACTGGTCATGGTGCTGGTTATAGTGTTCATGGAGGTAGTGGTGATGATGGTTGTGGTAGTCATGGTGATAAGGGTGTTTACGGCAGTAGTGAGTTGTGGTAGTGGTTGTCATTTGTAGTAGTGGTGGTGGTGGTTGTCATAGAGGCTATGGTGATGGTGGTAATTGTGGTCGTGATGGTCATGGTGTTAATGGTGACTAAGATTTGGCTTTGGTTTTTGATTGTCTTCTCTAAGTGAGGTTATGTTTCTGATATGTCCATGCTGGCTACAATAAACAAACCTTTTCCCAGAGCAGGAAAGGGAGATGTAGGGATGTTAGTAACTTCAACTGGGTAACACATCCCACTGCCACCCATGTAGGTCTAAGGCTACACCCCGTGTTCTCTCTGCCACAATGTGTTTTCTCCTTACCTGTTATTTGAGAGTAAAAGAAGCCATCAGCTCTTACAAAAAATGCTCAAAATCTGCTGTTATAAGGCCTGGTGGTCCCCAAGGTTGGTTTCCATTGACAAACACAGAATTTCCTCACTGAACTACTAGCAAAGAAGAAAACTGTAGTGAACCACCCAAGCTTTGGAGGGCTTCCAGAAGCTTTTCAGACCTTCTGGCCAGGCACTACGGGCCTTGCTCTGTGCTGTGCTTCCCAAGTGAGGTCACGCCAGAACACTTGTTCCCAGCTTCATTAGGACATGGATTTGTCTACTTAAACACAGCTGCTCTTCCCTAGGACACAGCCATTTCCAGTTTCCTGAGTCATATCTTTGGGCCTCTGTACCCTAAAAAAATGACCATGCTCTTCCCACTGCTTGGCTGAACTAAGAGTTTGGCCAAACTGGGTGGAATATGCAGTAGCAAGTGGAATGTCCCCTGTGGCCTTGAGCTCCTTTCTTGGCTCTGTAATAAACTGGGTTCCAGTCAAAAGCAACCTGCCTTTTCTCTGCTTTTTCTCTCTTTCATTTGTGCTGTGGTTTGTTTTGGTGTTTTAGAGTTTATTTTTTAACACAGTAAAAATTAACTCCTCTTGGTGGATGGTTCTGAGTTTTAATGGATGCCTAGCCATGAAACCACATCTGCTATCTGGATACAGGATAATCCCTTGCTTCTAAAAAAACTTCCTCTTGCTCACTCTCAACACCTACCAGCTACAAATGGTTCTCTGTTTCTGCAACTTGGCTTATACTCCAGTGTCATACAGATGGACTTGTATGCATGTAGCCTTTCCAGTCTGGACCCTCTCATCTAACACAGCAATACATGAACAACCCATCATTGAAGAACATTTGGATTTGTGTTTTAAAGTGATTATGAACAATGTCCATAAACATTTGTGATGTGGGATAATGTTCTTGTTCACTGTAAAGATTTGTCACTTATATCGGTTTAATAAAATGCTGATTGGCCAGTAGCCAGACAGGAAGTATGGCCGGGGCTACCAGACAAAAGGAATTCTGGGAAGAGGAAAGGCTGAGATGCAGTCACCAGCCAGATGCAGAGGAAGCAAGATGAGAATGCCATACTGAGAAAAGGTACCAAGCCATGTGGCTAAACATAGATAAGAATTATGGGTTAATTTAAGTTGTAAGAGTTTATTAGTAATAAGCCTGAGCAATAGGCCAAACAGTTTATAAGTAGTATAAGCATCTATATTTATTTGGGACTGAATGGCTTCAGGACCTTGCGAGACATATTTGCACACAGGTTTGCTATATAATTTTGTTTCTGGTTGGTCAGAATTGATAGATGCTGTGCTAAGTGCATGTTTAATGTAAGAAACTTCCAAAAGTGTTTTTCAAAGTAGCTTCAGAATTTGCATTTTCACAAGTATTATGTGGGGGTTCACACTGTCCCATACCTCACTGACACCTAGCACAGTCAGGGCTTCCTCTATCTATCTGTCTTTACCTGAAACCAACTTCAGTTATGAAGCTGTTTATCTAAGGGACTCCGTGCTAAAAGTAAAAGGCATAGCACCTGGAGGCTTGGCAAGCTCCTGGCAGCCATGAGGTGAAGAACATCAGAGATGTCCCTCTATCCACCCTTGGCCACCATCAGTCACAAACTTAGCAAATGCCTGCCTTGAGAGCTCTCCTGACATAGGTCGTTGGTGGTACCATTTATATAAAATGTAATAAGCTGGGCTACTGCCTAAATAAATGCCTCTGTTTTGTCCTCTGGATCTTCATATATTTCTCAGAACATGGGAGAAGCTCCCACACAAGATCACGTAACAGATGGTAGCAGCCACAGAGACAGTTAATGGCCCCAGGATCATTCTGTGTCCAGAAAGAGCTGAGGGAGTAAAGCTAGATTATAGACAGATTCTAAAATGATGGTTACAAACTTTGGAGAAACTATTAACTCTCTGAAGCTGGAGTTACAGGTGGTTGTGAGCCACCTGATGTCAGTGATGGGAACTAAACTCCAATCCTCTCCAACAGCAACAAGCACCCTCACTGCCCGTCATCTTTCCAGCCTTCCCCATTTAGCAATATTGAAGATGGTTTAGAATCTTACTGGAAAAAGTAAAATAAAAATAAATAAATAAATAAATAAATAAAAGCAAAAAAATATATATTTGAAGCCTACCCTTGCACCTTAGGTAAGAACCATTTCATTCATTGGATGTCAGCCACTACTCCAGTTCTTGTCCAAGTATAAGAGAACTAATGCCTCTTCAAATAAGGAGTATTGACGAGTTTATGAGCAACTTTTTCCTAAGCCATACCATCTAACTTTGCTTGTTTGTTTCTCCAGACAGCTTTTCTCTAAGTAACAGCCCTGGCTATCCTGAAACTCATTTTGTAGCCCACACTGGCCTCAAACTCACAGAAATACGCCTGCTTCTGCCTCCTGAGTGCTGGGATTAAAGGCCTGCACCACCACCACCCAGTATCATACCATCTAACTTTACCTTGCAGAGCTATCTCAATATGCACAGCAGTAAAAGCATGTTGCCATATAATGGAGCACTGAGTTCAGGGACTTGATTCTACACCACATGTCTTTGGAAAATCTTTGTCTATCTGACCCTCTATGTAGTCTTCTTCTCTAGGCTGGGAGTTTGTATCTGTTTGGTTTTGTTTATGACAGATCTGGCCTCCATAGTGATGGGATTACAGGCATCACCACCACACCCTGTTAGGAATTTGGATCTGGAGTCTGTAGAGCCTTTGTTTTTGTTGTTTTGTTTGGGTTTTTTGGGGGGGTTACTCCTGTGGTCCATGATTCTGTCCAAGTAGGGCAGGACTTTGGTTGCTTTGGACTCCCCTCTTTGAATGCACCCACATTTCCTTCCAGCTGTGGCTTAGACAGCCTACTCCAACAATTTATCCTCCCATCCATCTCTTTCTTCTTCCAAATCCCCATCAACTTAGGTCTGATTATATGAACTTCAAGCAAACCGAATTCCTGTTTATTAATGATAAACTGACTTGTCATGATTGGATCATTAGAAAATAAATATACATCACATCTCCCCATGAGCCACAGGAAGACTGCAAGGGATGGAGCTATTTATTTCATGTCTTGTATGCCTGTCATGCTTTTGATGAGCAATACCCAGAGAAGTTCTCCCCACAAATAACTCTGGGCTCATGGGCCACACTGAATCCTTTGATTCCCTCAGGTTTCTTCCTGATTCTGGAGGAGCTGGAGCCGTGGGGGTGCATCTTACCAGCTGCATTTCTCAAGTGAGGAAATCATCCTCCTTTAGTTGTCAATGTATAGGACTTAGCTTTTCATTTGTCATCTTTTCCAAATTAAGCTATAAACCTAAAACACCCCTCCCTCCCTGGTTTAGAACCAAAATGACAGATGTAAATGTATGAAGCCATCAAACATTTTAGACATACACACCTACTGATGTGTCATGGAGCAAGCCCTTTGACTATCCCCTGACTATGGCGCCATGACTGTCCTCTGCCATCTGTTACTGGGCAGCCTCTGCCTGAGGCCATCATATCCTGTTGAACTCACATTGGAAGCAACAAAGTCAAGCATCCAGACTCGGGGAGTGCTGCAACAGCAGTCAGAGGCCTCAGCAGCATGGCCCACATTTAGGGCCCCAGGTCCTCACATTCTCTGCTCCAAATTGGCCTTCAATGTGAAGGCTCTCATTTCTAAACTGAGCTTTGTTAGGCAAACAGCAGGAATCGCCTCAAATATGAAAGAAAAAACCTCAGAACCTCTGAGGAGAACCAAGGACCATGAATCTAGAAGAAACAACCACTCCAGGAACATGGATGACACTGGGCATCTTTAAGTCAATTAAGACACAGTAGAAGGTGATTCTGCTTGGATAGAATTCTAGGTTCAGCTGTTTCTCTCACTGTCTGAGGTCCACTCACCTCCTTTCCCAGTCTTTGTCCTCCCTCTCTGTGTCCCGACCCCTCCCCTAGATTCTTGCATATTGTTCTCTTTTGTCCCACCCCACTCAAGAAGGTTAAGATGGTCCACAGAGAAGTACTGACCTGGGAATCTCTACAGGCTGGAAACCCTTCAAGTCCTACAGAAAGAAATGGCAAAAAGGTGTCATTCTCAAGGCCAAACAAGCATCAGGCCATATCTTTAGACCAGGGAACCCACTTTGATTCCTCTTCCCATCCATCTACCAATGCCTCCCTGCTGGGGAAGTGACCCAGAACATACAAGTCACCACCACAACCCCAGGCAAGGTCCTATACAATACACATAATACAAGACCTGTGACATTATTACCAAAACAAACAAACAAACTATAAGTATTTTAACAACAACCCAGCATAACTGCCACAGGAATTCCAGAATGCTGTTTTTATGCAGCACTATTTTGATAGGACAAGAGTTACTAGACTCACTGGTTGGGTTGATCTGACTCATGACTTAATGGATATATCTATTACTATATTACATTTCTAAATCAGTGGTGTTTCAATAATGAATTCTCCTTGGCAATCCTGAATGTCTTATTTTTAAATTAAAAATAAAAATCTAAACATCTGCAAATGTCAAAGGTTTCACAATAAAAATAATGCTAAGAACTCTTTGGTTAGAATATTATATGAATTTATATTTCTGCCAATTCTCCCTGGGCTATTTAACCGCCACTGGTAAGGCCAAACTTTGTTTAAATACGTTCTACAGGAAGACAAGGAGTTCAAGAGTTCACTAGTTCGTCATGTCACTCTTCTTACAAGTTCCCATTTGGGCCTGGATTATTAATTTCCTGTAACTAGACTGCTGCCTGCTCCAGAGTTCCTCTGTGACTCAGACCTTACCTTGCTACTGAGCCGTTGCTATGAGAAAACTTTAATGCCTCCTGGAATTGCTGACAGCCAAGGACTCTTACCCAATCAGTTGGGAGCATTGTTGTGTGCACTTTGTTTACTTCCACAGAAATTCCTGACGCTTAGTCACTGCCAAGAGACAATTCAAAAGACATTTCATGTTGAATCATAAAATGACAGCAGCTTCCTCCTGGATAGAATCCCAGTTGCTTTCACATGGGTAGGAGCTTTCTGCTTCATAGGCACAGTGACCTTACTCACAATTTCTGTCCAATGCTCCCAAAGGAACTGATGGTGTGATATACTGGGTTTCATGCAATGTATAGAATCTAATGAACCACTCTGTCTTCCTCTTGTATATTTGAGGGTTACTGTAATACCTAGAGGGAAAGATCAAGACAAGTTGTAAAACTGCTTCATAACTTTTAAATGATAATGTGGTCCTAGATAATCAAAACTGAGAAAAATAGGAAACCAAATAAAAGTAATCCATGCTTTCTACCTGCAAAGATTTTTCTCCTGAGGAATGATGGATCTGGAAGGCCTTCTTATCTCTGAAAAGGCCACCTCTTTCTCAATAGTAGTTTTCTAAATTTAAAGATTCCTAGATGACTGAGCAAAGCCAAAAAGAGAACGTAAGTACATGCTCAGAACAAGATGTGTTCAAATCCCAGAGGAGGTGTCCCAGACTTTACACGATCTCTGTTAGCCTCTCAGAAATGACACTATTGGCAGATTAACTTCTTTGGGTTCTTGAGAAATAAATAAGAAAGTGGGGATTTATTTTATTCTCTTTACCTTAAATTTTTCATATTTGGCTCTAAGAGAAATGGCTCCTAACTTCCTTCCTGAGAATCCTGATTTCTAGAGAAAATTGGTCTGGTTTCTTGGTATACAGTGATGAGAACCTATGGTGCCCTTTGGTGTGCTTAATAGAGCCCCACTTTAGCTCCTACTCCTTCAATCCCTACAGTCCACAAAGAAACCATTTCTTCCCAAGGTTACCTTAAGCAAAATAGTGTCAAGTAGTAGTGAGATAAAGTTCCAAGCAGAACATTTCCTTGGTTTCCATCTTCATAAAGCCTACTTACTTGAAAACCAATGAGTTTCCCACAGAGATAATCTCTGTTCTTTTGTTCACGTGCCAGCCTGGTAAAAATGCCTACTATGTGCATTTCAAAATGTGGTGAATCGTGTTGTGATGGTTAGCTTTATTGTCACCCAGATACTGTGTAAGGGACAAGAATCTCGGTGAGGGTGTTTTCTGGGTTGGGTTGGCTTGTGGGCTTCTCTGTAAGGATGTTTTTGGTTGGGTTGATTAACTGAGAAGACTCACTCTGAATTTTAGCATCAAATTCGGGCTGGACCCTAGACTGGGCAAAAAGAATAAAGCTATCTGTCATAGCAAACATGAATCCATTGACCCTTGTTCCTGATGATGGACATGATAGAACAAGTCCCTTCCAGCTGCAGCTATGATTTTCCTGCTATGATGGATGCACACCAGTTAGGTTTTATCAACTAGACACTATAGTCATCTGGACAGAGTAATCCTTGAGGAAATGTTTCTGCTTGATTGGCCTATGGGCAAGTATGTGGGACATTGTCTTGGCTAACAATTGATGTGTATGGGGGGGCAACCCACTGTGGGTGTTGCCACCCCTGGGCAGGTAGTCCATAGTTGTATAAGAAACAAAGCTGAGTAAGACAGGAACAGGGCCTCAGAGCAGGCATTCAGTCTTATGCAATTGGTCTTCACATTGAGGACAGGAACTCCCCAGCCTTGGTAGAGGTAAGAACTCTCTTGTGGTTTGGCTGTTTTGCTTTTCTGATCTTTAGCTTGAACCCCAATATCTGTCTTTGGATTTTTATTATTTGTGTTACAGCTGACAAAGGCATGGAAAGCAAATCAGCAAACAGCACTACTCCTCCTCCATGGTTCCTGCCTTGACTTCCCTCAATGATGGGCCTTAATCTGTCACTTAAACAAACCCTTTCCTCCCCAAGTTGGTTTGGTCAGTGTTTTATCATAGCAACAGAAAGCAAACTAGAACAGACTGTTGCCTGGAACTGTGTTCTAAGATAATCCATTCCCTCTAAGTTACTTTTGTCAGGGTATTTTTTGTCATAACAAAAGAAATGAAACAAAGACATGTGATGATGAAGTAACATTCTTCCTGAAGCTTCTGGCCAGCTAGTCTGGCATGCTCAGCAGCAAACAAGGACCAACACACCACTGCATTTGTGCCATGGCATGCTGAAACACACACTCACAAAAGAATGCACATACATACACACACACACACACACACACACACACACACACACACACACACACAGAAAGATATGTGGGTAAGTATGTATATATTATATTGCATTGGCTAGAAAATATAGTATTAAGAATGTATTAATTATGATCATGATCCTTGTGTTTCTTATAATCTCCAGTCCAAACTCTCAAAAGCTCCCATGATCTAAATAGTTCTTATTCTTGACACATTAGGCTAACCCAGGAAATTTCTTTTAATCTCCATTGTACACAGACTATATGTACCCATATATAATCAAGTCTTTATAACTTTCTGGGTGTTAGAATGTACCTCCAAATGGGGAGCCTGACCCAGGAACCAGTGAGTCCCACAGAGTAGCCCTGTGTAGTGTCTCACTCCTGTAGACAACAGCCAAGCATGTCTTCTCCCATGATTATATATTCTAGAGACTAGGATAGCCCAAATTCTTGATAATCTTCCCACTGAGCCATGTACTTTGAGCTCATCCTAAAGATGAGGACTCGAGAGATGCTAGATGGTGATGGAAAAGATACTTGAAGTGTGAGGTTACAGTAGCCGTATCCAGCATTTTGTCTTTCTCCAAAGTTACCTTCAATATTATTCATGTCCCAACTTCAGATGTACATAAAAATATATTTATAAAGGGTGGAAATGATTTATCTACTACTGGGAGAGTCCTATCCTAAGACATATAGCCAGTGCCAAGCTATTAAAGGAAGGTGCCTGAAGAACACAAATCTTGTCTCTGCTGAACTTTCAAATTGACTGATAAAAGTAATCAAGGTTAATCAGACATCTTTCCCTTAATAGTCAGAAAACCACTTTCTTTTTTTTTTTTGAGCAATAAAAATATCATTTTTATTTCATTAAGTTTAGTGCCAGCCCATATAGATCACAGATTATCTATTAACAGTTTTATTTTTTTATTTAATTTTATATAACAAAGTCCAATTAAATGAAAACAAATATTTATACACAATATTTGGGAATTTGGGCGTCGTTCTTTCCAAACTACTTCCTGCTGGTAAGGGGCGCTGTCTTGGGGGATTCGAAGAAGATTCAGATATCCTAGCTGTAGTCTGTAGGGCTGCAGAAAATCACTTTCAAAGTGTTTTTTTCAAAATGGAAGATGAAATTCCCACTTGCATAAAGTGCTGGGAAGTGTCTGGGGTTGCTTTGCACATCGAGGTAGAGTGCTAGATAGATGAGCCTCAAGCTTTGATCTCCATTCATTTTGTTTTGAAGTCACCAGTGTACCCTACCATGTGATTATCCATTCAAGATAGGCCAACCAGATGTGATGTTCTCTCTCTCCTGACCACTTAAAGGAAGTAACCCATTCTTCCCTAAATGCTTCACTTAGACAGAACACCAAGACAGACATACCCAGTCCTCTGGACTTAACATTTAAGTCATAAACGACACTAGTAGATGGCCTAGACTAAAGCAGAAATTCCCAGGTTGACAAATCCTCATGTTTAAAAAAAAATAATGTAAATAGTAGCATAAAGCTAAGAGAGGTCATGAGTTGAAAAATTGAAGATAGGAAAAAATGAATTATCCAGCCACCCAAGCTACCAGCTTCTGTGTAGCCTTCAATTCTTCTCACAGTGGAAGATGCATCCATCTTATAAGAGTAGTCCCTGTGCCACAGACTTGGAGCCTTTCTCTCTGACAATGATCCTCTCTCACAGCATAACTTCTCCTTCATCACCCAAAAGCTTCTCCTGACTTAAAGATAAGAAAGTGAAAGTTAAGTGTTCTAACTCTGCTGTCCCGTGTGATTTTCTAACTCCTGCTCTAAGTCTTCACCCCCACACATTTATCCATCTGTTCACCTTCCATGTCCTCAATAGCCCACTCATCTCTGGCCCCCATAATCACTTAAGCCATTCTTGCAAATATAAACCACAGATTCTCATAAAAACCCATGAGAAACTTTCCCCATCTTACATGACTAGCAACCTTGTATTGGAACCTTGAATTCTGCATCCTTCATCTCCCCATCATCCTCCCGGTCTTTTTTTCTGTTCCCTCTC